GAGTACAACCCTTAACAGATTATGAATTTTCACTCTATTTAAAGGGAGCAAGTTACAGGTGTTAAAAATGTGTGCCATATCTTCCATCCAGAACTTTTTTCCACTAGTTCAACTAGCACCAGCACATGTGTACTTTATTTAGAGCTATCCGTGGCCATAGATAACAATACCTTATACCTAGGTTTTCTAGGGCTAAGAAAGAGAGTAATAATAAAATAATAATAATGATAATTAATATACTCTATTTGCACATGATATGGTACAGTTTTTACAAAAATTGGATGATATTCAGTTGTACACATGGAAACCCCCTAGCTATGCAGGGCATGAACATCGTTCTCCAAGCACTGTTCTGTCTCTCATTTCTCTAACTAATCACGGTTGTCATTGATCAATAAACACAATATTGACACACATGTACAGGTCTCCCTCAACATTCGCAAGGGTTAAGGGATCAAGAGCCTCACGAATGTTGAAAAATCACGAATGTTTGGTGCCCCAATATATTGTAGGGAAACATAAGAAAGGACGAGCACTGCAGCAGGCCTGTTGGCCCATACTAGGCAGGTCCTTCACAATCCATCCCTCTAACAGAATATTTGCCCAACTCAATTTTCAATTCTACCCAAGGAACAAGCTTTGATAATTCTATTTACCCATGTGCAAGTCCCACTCAAATCCAACCTCTCTCACTCATAAGAAAGGACTGTGTCAGTTCTCTCATCTACAATCCTGTCTGACACTGCAACTTCTTGGGATCTTAATACTTGGGAATTCTTCTCTTACCTAACCCTTGGGCACGACCTACTTCCATATTGGTCAAATGTGACACCAGCTACGACTGCTGCACCTCTCCTGCCTACGGTATATAAGCTACTTCTCTGCAGATATGCTGTATTCTTTTCAAGATTGATGGACTGACCACATCGACTCAAGGCTGAGGGACTGATTACGTCAAACTCCTCCTGTTCTTCACCTTTCTCCTTTGTATGGACTGATGAAGCCACTGTGTGGCGAAACGTTTCCTCAATAAAGATACCCAAGAGTTGAACATGTGTCTAATTTATCATAAGAGAGGAGAAACACTGCAGTAGGCCTGTTGGCCCATACTAGGTAGGTCCTTCACAAATCCAACCCACTAACAGAATAAACGCTACGCAAGCAATAAGCGTTGACATTTCTATTTACTCGCGTGCCAGTCTCACTCAAATCCAACCCCTCTCACTCATGTATTTATCCACCCTAAGCATAGATAGGACCTTGGGTAAAGGGATGGGGACTACAGTGGTAGGCTTTCTTGTGAAGAACATTGTGATGGGGAACTGAGACGGTTTCTTCATATTTACAGAGTTTTGTAGGGAATTACGCCTCTGTCAATGTTGTTCATCAACTTCAAATCCTCAACATAAATATGATTTGGCGGTTGGGAATTCGTGAATGTGTGAAGCTCGCGAAAGTTGAAAACGTGAATGTTGAGGGAGACCTGTATATCTGTTTGTTTTGGTTCATGGAGTTTTTTATCATTGCTAGTGTGCTGTCTCTTCCTCTGTCCACTCGCCTCCTCGACTGCCATATGCTAATCAATAAGGTCACACAAAATAAACTAGCTAATTTTCACATTATCTTGTTTCAACATAACTGTTTATGAGAAATAGCTTATTCCTCAATTAAATTTATTAATGTCCTTTGTTCCCTTGTATTTGGTCTGTAGTGGGAATAAAGGACTTCATTTATCTAACAAAATGCTACAACATCTACGGTATCTGAATATGTCTAGGAAGAGACTGTATAGCTAGTAGAGTTTCTGTTGCATTATTCTCTTTGTGGCAAGGAAGTTTCTTTCTCTATAAACATTCAAGGATAATGCATTTGGTTAAGGATAAATAAATAATGCATTTGGTTAATATTATTTAATATTAACATAACACTAAACCACTTACAGGTCATGTGATTATGCATCACCTTGCTTTCCAATTGAAATCCCTCCCGATGACCCTCGAATTCGCCATCACCGTTGTATGGAGTTTACTCGATCTTCTGGCATCTGTGGCTCTGGAATGACATCAGTGTTTTTCAATACAGTACTCCCAAGAGAGCAGATTAATCAACTCACATCTTATATTGATGCATCACAGGTATGTCAACAAATAAATTTGGTTCAAATGGATTTATTATTTGCCTGGTCACTGTGAATAAGTACTGGAATTCATTGTTGTTTGCACGGTCTCTGTACATCCAGCATTCTATTACTCATTGCAAATATGGGACTAATTACTCTCATTTATGGAATTACCATTTTGTAAGGGGTGAAAATTTGGTGTCATTGATGCACCTCTAAACAGTGTCCAGGCAGCACAAAAAGTTACATAAATAATTTGTAGCCAAAACAAGAAATATTGAAAAGAAGACGAAAGAAAATTGAGAAAGAATTTCTACCTCATATCAGTGACCCATCCTAATGTATACATCTTATTCTTTCAACAAACTGGCTGCATCGCACCAGGCAGGGTGGCCCAAAAAGAAAAACAAAAGCTTCTCTTTTCAAATTTAGTAATTTATACAGAAGGGATTACTAGTCCCCTGCTCCCGGCATTTTAGTCGCCTCTTACAACACGCATGGCCTACGAAGGAAGAATTCTGTTCCACTTCCCCATGGAGATAAGAGGAAATAAACAAAAACAAGAACTAGAAAGAAAATAGCAGAAAACCCAGAGGGGTGGTGTGTATATATATGCTTGTACATGTATGTGTAGTGTGACCTAAGTGTAAGTAGAAGTAGCAAGACGTACCTGAAATCTTGCATGTTTATGAGACAGAAAAAAGGACACCAGCAATCCTACCATCATGTAAAAATTACAGGCTTTCGTTTCACACTCGCTTAGCAGGACGGTAGTACCTCCCTGGGTGGTTGCTGTCTACCATCCTACTACCTAGATAATGTATACATATCTTTTGAATTATTATGTACTTCATTTATTGTGAAATTTATAGTTAACAAATTTACTTTTACAGGTGTATGGGTCAAGTGCTGGAGAGATGAGGCTCATACGTAACTTGACACACGACAATGGTCAGTTACGGCATGGCATATTTACATCCTCTGGAAAGCCTCTAATGCCATTCAGTGAAGGTGCTCCTGTAGACTGTCGAAGAGATTTAAGTGAAAGTGGGATAGACTGCTTCTTAGCTGGAGATATTAGAGCTAATGAACAGGTGAGATTTAACATTTATTTTCTTGTGAAGAAAAAATTACACTTATAGTCTGTCATTAGCTTTTTATTTGTATTGACTGCAATATAAAAGTTTAAGTCTGCATACTTCTGGCAAGATAGCTATTGATGGTGATTGTACTGACTCCTTGGGTCACTCTACTTTGGTGAGAAACAGCCACTGTGGTAAAATATAAGCAGCTTGCACATCTACATCTTAAGAAATATTAAGATTTCCCCTAAAAATCGTTGGAATAAACTTATGCAAGTCTTCTTTCATGGATTTACAGTTGGTGTGTACAATTAGCAACTAATTAAACAAGGTGTTTATAAGAGGGAACATTTTTTTTTCAATTTTTAAAAGTCAGCTTCAAAGTAAACAAGCAGTGTTGGGTGTTATGATGCTTGAAGCTGTTATGTATATGTAATTATTGTACTCTACTTAATTGTCTCAGGTATTTGTACATAAACATAAAATTTTTTTTTTTTCAACAAGTCGGCCATCTCCCACCGAGGCAGGGTGACATACATATAATTTATAAATGCACTAATTTTTCCTCAGTCTGGTCTGACTGCAATGCATATGGTATGGTTCAGAGAGCACAACAGAATTGCTGAAGCACTGAGACAAATTAATCCACACTGGGATGGTGAAACTATCTTTTATGAAGCTCGAAAGGTAAGTTATATAATCAAATTTATTATTATTATTATTATATTCTTAGGGAAAGCAATTTTCAAGTTACCTCACCAAAATGTGCCATTGAATTGCTAGCCAAATTTATTTTATAACCTGATCTATTTTACAAAAAAATTCTAAAAGTATTGCAGATAGTTCATGTGTTTGATTTTCAGATAGTTGGAGCCGAGGTTCAACACATCACATATTCACACTGGATATCACATATCATAGGACCCAGGGGAATGGAGCTGCTTGGAGAGTATACAGGTTACAATCCCAAGCTAGAGCCTACAATCAGTAATGTCTTTGCTACGGCTGCTTTTAGGTAATATTTGGTGACGGGCATATGGCAGAAAATTGTTTTGTAGTACGTATTATATTAATAAATTATGCTGAAGTGTTTATAGTAGCTTTCTTCATAAATAAGTAACATTAAATAGTGTTACTTTACGAAGGCTCGATTGGAGTTCTTTTATGCCCATTTTGGTTGTTAGGCAGTTTTATTGATGAATGTGAAGCACTTGTGTTTGGTGCTGTAAGTATGGAGCTCACCAGTAACAAAAATTTAGTTACAGTAGTGTCCAAATTACAGAATATTTGCGATAAGAAAAATTGGACATCTCTTTTAGAAGAAATGAGAAATTTTCTGAATAGAAATTCTAAAATTTTGTTCATATGTTTGTGAAAAAAGTCTGAACTGTGTTCTTCAGTTAATTTTTTATTTAATAAAACACTGACTGAATTAAGATTTTGTAGTGTATAAATACATAAGCTATAAAATTCAAAATCTTCCTCTTCAGATTTGGACATTCATTAATCAATCCAATTCTTCACCGACTCAATGCTACCTTCCAGCCAATCCCTGAAGGCCATTTACCACTACATAAAGCTTTCTTTAGCCCTTGGCGTATTGTACAAGAAGGAGGAATTGATCCACTTCTCAGGGGCCTTTTTGCAACTCCTGCTAAACTTAAGGTAATGTAATAAAATACAGTATTGTTCTACAGCAGAAGACAATCTTCAGATCATTAGACAGTTAATAATCCAGGATACCCCAAAAAAACCAAGCATTGTAGCTTATTTCTGTTAGGGTCCTTAGGTGCTCTCCTCTGTGATGTGTTTCATAACAGCCAATTAACTCTGGGTATATTTACTGTTAGGAGGGAGAACTTGAACAGCAGGTGCATGAAGAAGTTGCTCATCATATGACTGAACTAGTCTTTGGTTGTGAACCAAAAGTTCTACTGCTTAACTACAAGATACCTATGTACGTACTATATTATGTGTGGGGGGTGTACATATTATTATTATTTTATTTATTTATTGGAAGTGCAAAACCCGTAGGGGATTATATAACATCTGAGGAGTGGAACAGACTACTATTGGGTTATATTGAGGCTAGGACTTTGGGTAGTTTCCAAATTTAGGTTGGATAAGTACATGAGTGGGAGGGGTTGGATTTGAGTGGGACTTGCACATCGGAGCTTGTTTCTTGGGTGGCATTGAAAATTGGGTTGGTCAAATGTTTGTTAGTGGGATGAATTGTAAAGGACCTCCTAGTATGGGCCAACCAGGCCTGCTGCGTGTTCCTCCTTTCTTATGTTCTTATGAGTGTAAGGCAGTCAAGATTGATCCATTTAAGGGAAGGACACATCCATTTCCTTGAATCAAGAGTCCCTCACCAACATCAAGACACCTCCTTGAAGGGGTATGGGGGATATAGAGGCTTTATACAACACACAACTACTCTTTATGGGGGGGGGGGGTGTCAACAAGTCGATCGTCTCCCACCGAGGCAGGTGACCCAAAAAAGAAAGAAAATCCCCAAAAGAAAATACTTTCATCATCATCAACACTTTCACCACACCACACATATCACTGCTTTGCAGAGGTGCTCAGAATATAAACATTAGAAGCATATACGTATAGAGATACACAACATATCCCTCCAAACTGCCAATATCCCAAACCCCTCCTTTAAAGTGCAGGCATTGTACTTCCCATTTCCAGGACTCAAGTCCGACTATATGAAAATAACCGTTTCCCTGAATCCCTTCACTAAATATTACCCTGCTCACACTCCAACAGATCGTCAGGTCCCAAGTATCATTCGTCTCCATTCACTCCTATCTAACACGCTCATGCACGCTTGCTGAAGTCCAAGCCCCTCACCCACAAAACCTCCTTACCCCCTCTTTCCAACCCTTTCGAGGACGACCCCTACCCCTCTTTCCTTCCCCTATAGATTTATATGCTTTCCATGTCATTCTACTTTGATCCATTCTCTCTAAATGACCAAACCACCTCAACAACCCCTCTTCTGCCCTCTGACTAATGCTTTTATTAACTCCACACCTTCTCCTAATTTCCACACTCCGAATTTTCTGCATAATATTTACACCACACATTGCCCTTAGACAGGACATCTCCACTGCCCCAACCGTCTCCTCGCTGCTGCATTTACCACCCAAGCTTCACATCCATATAAGAGTGTTGTACTACTATACTTTCATACATTCCCTTCTTTGCCTCCATAGATAACGTTTTTTGACTCCACATATACCTCAATGCACCACTCACCTTTTTTCCCTCATCAATTCTATGATTAACCTCATCCTTCATAAATCCATCCGCCGACACGTCAACTCCCAAGTATCTGAAAACATTCACTTCTTCCATACTCCTCCTCCCCAATTTGATATCCAATTTTCTTTATCTAAATCATTTGATACCCTCATCACCTTACTCTTTTCTATGTTCACTTTCAACTTTCTACCTTTACACACATTCTCAAACTCATCCACTAACCTTTGCAATTTTTCTTAGAATCTCCCATAAGCACAGTATCATCAGCAAAAAGTAACTGTGTCAATTCCCATTTTGAATTTGATTCCCCATAATTTAATCCCACCCCTCTCCCGAACACCCTAGCATTTACTTCTTTTACAACCCCATCTATAAATATATTAAACAACCATGGTGACATTACACATCCCTGTCTAAGACCTACTTTTACCGGGAAGTATTCTCCCATGTAGAGAGAATGGAGCGAAACAGAATGACTTCAAGAGTGTATCAGTCTGTAGTGGAAGGAAGGCGGGGTAGGGGTCGGCCTAGGAAGGGTTGGAGGAGGGGGTAAAGGAGGTTTTGTGTGCGAGGGGCTTGGACTTCCAGCAGGCATGCGTGAGCGTGTTTGATAGGAGTGAATGGAGACAAATGGTTTTTAATACTTGACGTGCTGTTGGAGTGTGAGCAAAGTAACATTTATGAAGGGATTCAGGGAAACCGGCAGGCCGGACTTGAGTCCTGGAGATGGGAAGTACAGTGCCTGCACTCTGAAGGAGGGGTGTTAATGTTGCAGTTCAAAAACTGTAGTGTAAAGCACCCTTCTGGCAAGACAGTGATGGAGTGAATGATGGTGAAAGTTTTTCTTTTTCGGGCCACCCTGCCTTGGTGGGAATCGGCCGGTGTGATAATAAAAAAAAAAAAAAAAAAAAATATTCTCCCTCTTTTCTACACACCCTAACCTGAGCCTCACTATCCTCATAAAAGCTCTTTACAGCATTTAGTAACTTACCACCTATTCCATATACTTGCAACATCTGCCACATTGCTCCTCTATCCACTCTATCATATGCCTTTTCTAAATCCATAAATGCAATAAAAACTTCCCTACCTTTATCTAAATACTGTTCACACATATATGCTTCAATGTAAAACACTTGATCTACACATCCCCTACCCACTCTGAAACCTCCTTGTTCGTCCGCAATTCTACATTCTGTCTTACCTCTAATTCTTTCAATTATAACCCTACCGTATATACTTTTCCTGGTATACTCAGTAAACTTATTCCTCTATAATTTTTACAATCTCTTTTGTCCCCTTTCCCTTTATATAAAGGGACTATACATGCTCTCCGCCAATCCCTAGGTACCTTCCCCTCTTCAAACATTTATTAAACAAAAGTACCAACCACTCCAACACTATATCCCCCCCTGCTTTTAACATTTCTGTCATGATCCCATCAGTTCCAGCTGCTTTACCCCCTTTCATTCTACGTAATGCCTCACGTACCTCCACCACACTTACAGTCTGCTCTTCTTCACTCCTAAAAGATGGTATACCTCCCTGGCCAGTGCATGAAATTACCGCCTCCCTTTCTTCCTTAACATTTAAAAGTTCCTCAAAATATTCTCGCCATCTACCTAATACCTCCCTCTCCCCATCTACTAACTCCCCTACTCTGTTTTTAACTGACAAATCCATACTTTCCCTAGGCTTTCTTAACTTGTTTAACTCACTCCAAAATTTTTTCTTATTTTCATTAAAATTTCTTGACAGTGCCTCTCCACTCTTTCATCTGCTCTCCTTTTGCACTCTCTCACCACTCTCTTCACCTTTCTTTTACTCTCCATATACTCTGCTCTTCTTATAACACTTCTGCTTTGTAAAAACCTCTCGTAAGCTACCTTTTTCTCTTTTATCACACCCTTTACTTCATCATTCCACCAATCACTACACACACACACTTATTGTTGACAAACAACAAAGTTATTGATAAAATTTTATAATTATCATTATTTATAAATTAACAAACCATAAGGTAATGTCACTCAGCAGATATTGCACAATACATATTATTACAGTACAGTATTATATTTAATATTCACAAAAATGCTGCTTACCATCTGACTCCTGCCATTATTAATACGTACTAGTTTCTAAGTTATCTTTGTACTGTATTAGGACTGAAAAAGCCATTCATGATGAAATGTTTCCTCTAATAGATGTCCTTTGCTGCCATGCATTTATAATGCCAAGTTGTGAATTACAATACAATGCACTACAGTACAGTACAGTGCATTAATTATAGTATTTTCTTTTCCTAATATTATCATTGTGTATACCTAAGAATATTTATTGCATCTTATTCTCCATCTAGTGATACCTCGTAAATATTGATAGGTTTTGACCTGAAATTGTAATCTATCAGGCACAGTTGCAGTTTAATTCCAAATCTTATATTTTCTTTTGTAGATGCCTGGCCAGTTTCTAAATACAGAGCTGACAGAAAAATTATTCCGTGCTGCTCACGAAGTGGCACTTGATCTCGCTTCTCTCAACATCCAGAGAGGACGAGATCATGCTCTGCCTGGCTACACAGAATGGCGAAGAGCTTGTAATCTCTCAGTGCCAGATAGCTTTGATCAACTGAGGTCTCACATATCATCAGTTAACATTCGAAATAAGCTTAAGCAGTTATATGGTCATCCAGGTAATAAACTTAATATTATGTACCACCTGTTGCCACTGTTTTGTCCCTCTTCTTACTTGTCATTTTTTATAAAAAAATATTGGTTCTAGTTTTCTTGTATTGCATCATTAAAATTTCAACCATTGGCAGAATTTAATGAAATTCTGTAGCAGTTTGCTATACATATATGTTTTGGCATAGGAACTGTAACACTTGCCTACAAAATTATTTAAGGAAATGTGGATGTGTGGGTTGGTGCCTTGTTGGAAGACCCTGTTGAAGGTGCCAGAGTAGGACCAACTTTCTTGTGCCTTCTTGTGGACCAATTTAGACGGTTACGTGATGGTGACAGGTCAGTTCTTACTCTTATTACACTATGATTAATTAATATCCTAGTGGTGTGTGTGTGTGTGTGTGTGAAAGGTCAGGTTACTGTGGATGGTTGCATGGTTATGGTATGCATTTACTGTTCCTTGCTGGGGGCTCACTAAATATGTGAATGCATTTTTTATCTAAACATTTTAGTTAGGCTCTAGTCAAGTACATTAAAGCAACACACAATATATTTAATTCTAATGTTAATAAATTAATAGTTTACTTCATTATTCTGTGTACAGTATTTAGATTTAAGTCATTTTATTACCATCTATTTATTACAGAATTCATTATTTACATAATTTATAGCAAAATAATACAAATATGCATTGCCTTGAGCAGGGAATGGTTTTTCACTTTGGTCATCTGTAATATCTCGGCAGACAGCGCGAGATATTCAAAAAGGTCTTTTGCTAGCCAGGGAGAAACAATAAATTTCAGTCTAGATGGACAACAAATTGCACAGCAAATTACCAATTTGTGATCTACTTAGCTAAAGGCCTAAATAAATATGGCAAAGAACTTCTGTTTGCACTTTTTTTTTTTTTTACGTTAATGGGGGAACACTAAACCCATAGGGGTCATACAGCACTTAGGGAAATGGAAGGTATTTAAGCTTGAGTCAAGGAATTGGAGCATTGGTCCAATTCCTTTGATCAAGAGCCCCTTACCATCAAAAAAACTCCCTTGAGGATCAACTAAAAAGGCTCAAATCTGCTTTTGCAGATGACTTTGCATCTCAGGTTTTATAAAAACTTGTTACAGCTAAGCTACGGTATATATTTTTTTTTAACACACCAGCCTTATCTCACCAAGGCAGGGTGACCTTAAAAGAAAAACTTTTGTTTTTCTTTTAAGGTCATTTTAAAGAAAAACAAAAGTTTTTCTTTTTAAATTTAGTAATTTATACAGGAGAACAGGTTACTAGCCCCTTGCTCCTGGCATTTTAGTCGCCTCTTACTATTACAAAGGAAGGATTCTTTTCCAGTTCTCTGTATACATATATTTACACTGCAACATATAAGTATATTTCAATAGATTATTACTATTATACAGATTCTGGTATGAAAATCCTACCACATTCAAGCCTGAACAGTTGGCACAAATTAAGCAGACCACACTGGGAAGAGTATTGTGTGACAATGGTGATAACATACAAGACATGACACCTGATGTGTTTGTGTTACCTCGTGAGCAGAGCCCAGCATTTATGGAGTGCTCAAAGCTTCCGTACGTTGATTTGCGCATATGGACGGACTGCTGTACAGGTATGTAATTTTCAAGTGAGTCGAAGGTCTCCTATTTTTTCAAACTACCTAATGTATTCTGAAACTAAACTTAAGGCTTAGTCACTAAAATACAATTATTAATGAAGGAAAATACACATGCAGTATATACCTATTTTATATGCTTAAAATCTGTAATGAAAGAATGTAGCAATTCATTGGAGTGAAAGGAGTTAGACCCTACTGAGATTACCAGTGCTAGAATTAGTGGCCATTACCAAGTTCCACACTATCCTGGCTATGAAAAACCTTATGACCCTCCATGATATAAAGGCTAAGGCACTGCTGGGTTGGCAATCCTAAACCACTGATTTGAATCCTGATCACTCCATTGAATATTGTATAGCTATGTATTGTTAGTCACTATTTTCTTTGATACATACATCCATTGCTTAACATGCAGGTATACATGTAGTAAATCCATTACACAAAGCATATTTTATATTTTACTAGTAAAGTGGTGGTTAGGTTCCATATACCTTTACACCCTTTTTCCTGACATAGTACAGGATTCGTGGTAACTTCACTGATGTAAGTGCCTGTACAAAACTCAGTGAAAAAACAAATATAATAGCAGAATTACTCAAGATTACTGAACCATTCTGGTAGTAAAGAGCACTTAAGATATGATGCTGTAGACTGAGGGTGGTAATTTAATTGCTGCAAAAAGAGGGTAGTAAAGGAGTAACAAGATTAAAATTCACATCACTGGCACCAGAGAGTAGCAGTGTCACATCATGTGGAGAATACAACTGCTACACTGGCTTATTACAAATGAACATTAGTAGACCAACACCACTAGAAGTTACTGCTTCCTGGGTTGGTGATGGTAGACCTTGTAGGTAGCCAATCTGTTAGAGAATAATTTCTATACGTGTTCATCTGTATAGCCCTTGTGGCTTAGCGCTTCTTTTTGATTATAATAATAATATACGTGTTCATAATTCACCAGGCGATGCTAAATTTAATACGGTAAAAAAGAAGCACATTGGATTCGTTTCCTGTTTTAGTTGAAAAACTGTTCAGTTGTCGGGTCACTTAATGGAATGAGAATATAAAGTCAAAATTGATCACTATTAAATCTTTTGCTGAATATAAAATTCTTCTTGAAGCTTATTAAACATGAGTCAGATCATGCCAGTAACACATACTCTACCAGCCATAATTTAGCCATATTTACCCAGTGTAGCTGCAAGTCTGAAAAATTGGTGAAATGATAAGCGACTTCCTTTTCCCATATCTGTAGTTTAAATCCACAGTGTTCCCTTGCACACATTTTTCTGTCCACCATTAAGATAAAAAAAGAAGAAGAGGATGGAGTACAGTACTGTTCATCCTGAGTAAACACACCACAGTAAAAAGGATGGAAATGTGTTAATACAGTCATACATATATACACCAAGTGGATGCTAGATTAAGCTGAAAGTACACAATAGTACAGTATTTATTATTTTGTCATGTAACTTTAGCATTATATATGGAGGCAAAAAATTTCAGGGGAATAGTATTCATTATAAAATAGCATGTTAAAGCAAGAGAAAAAATACAGTTGCAGTTGCTTTATCTAGTTTCCATGAGTGCCAATTGCTTTCACTTTATTGATGTTTCTTTCCAATCACTAGCATACACAACAACAACTGTAGAAGTATGTCCAGAGTAGACATCGTCCTGTTATCTTGGAGTTCTGTTTATAACATATTTAAAGTAAATTGTGTTTACTAGGCTGTAACCAGTCACTCGACTGTTGTGGCTCTTGCATGATTAATTGAAGCATACGCAGCCATTGTGCTCCACTTCAATTTTTCACCCATGATGGTTCTCAAGACTACCATTCTTGCCTCTCTGGCTTTCATGATTAAGAATTTCTTGTGTTTGTCTTACAAAGTTCATCTTACACTTGCTGGAGGTGATTGGGTTGCTATATTGAGTTCACCTTAATGGTGACTGACTTATAAATGTTACATTATATCACAAAATCAGTGATGTGGAGAGTCGGGATGTGAATTATGGCCATAGGAGTAGTCTTTCATGATAGGTTCTGACTTGTATGATGTTATGGGAAGAATCACATGCAAGTTTAGTGTTCACACTATATATCACATTTTTATCCTTTTTACATGTAACTTTGTTTTAACAAATTTACTTCCCTTAAGGTTTAAATATTCAATTCAATTTAACTAACGAAAATATTTGTAGACTGTCGGAATGCTGGCAACTTCAACAGTTTAACCCAAGCACCAGGCATCCGTTTCCGTCGGCAAGCTCAATTTTCACACATTGAAGATCAAGAACACATTCTGATGGGAATAACCAGCGAAAAACTAGCTACCAATGAAATAAAGGCATCACCAGTTTTCTTTAGTAATAATTCAGAAAATATCACCAATTCTGAACACAGACAAAGGTTAGTACATTAATTACATCTGATAATGTACTGCATAAAGTTTTTTGTAAATTCATATTACATATTTAGATTTTTGTGCAATATACTGTACTGGCATAAATTAAATAATTCGGCATAAAATTTTTACACTCGTTTTTTGCTTGGTTATTCCTTTTCCCATTGATTTTTCAAAGAACTGTACCTAGACCCATCCATAGTCATCGTCAAGAAAGTGTCAGAGGATGGATACCAAGAAATAAAAATAAAGAAGACAGCAATGAACATGACTTGGGAAGCTATGAGCAAGACATGACAGAACAGCGAATAGAAGGGATTGAAGCTCTTGTAGAGCAGCTCTCAAAAACAGTGTATGAGCTTAATAATAAGGTCTGTATTGTATGAAAAGATATCTGTATTCAAGTACACTAGATACAGTACTTTTCAGTATTATAATTATAATCATGAGAAGCTGCTCAACACATAGGGGGTCATACAACACCTTGGGAATAGGTAATAGTTTTGAGATAATGAAGCAGAGGGTAGCACCACTTCCTAAATCAAGAGCTCTTCATTGACATAAGGCAACCCCTTGAAGGGATTTGGTTGCTGTGCAAGAGTTTGTCAGCTTTTGTCACTAGGCTCCAATTCCAACCCCTCGAGGAAAGTGTATTGATGCAAGTAAATGGCTCTTGATATAAGAAACTGAATTTATCCTCCCCTTCCTTGGATTAAACCTGATTGCTTCCCATTCCCCAGGTGCTTTATGAGCCCTATGGGTTTAGTGCTACCCCTTGATTAATCTAAAATAAATTCAGTCCCAAATGATGTCCACCTATTACAAAAAAAGTACTAAACCTATAGTGGTCATTTAGTTATTGAAAAAACAAGAACTAAGTCAATATGGGTCATACAGAGCCTGAGGAATGGAAAGAAATCAGATAAAATTTAAAGAGGTTTATCATTAAAAATATATATGGGAGGTGGGAGCACTAAACCCATAGGAGTTATACAGTGACTGACCAGAGTGCACAAAACTCAAGTTTAACATTGTTTTTAAGATAAGTATGCAATTGTTTATTTTTCTAAACTTAGTATGCATACAATTCTTATTAAAAATTTATTGTAATGTTAGTTACGTGGGTCTTGGGAGCTCAGGGTGGAAAAAAACTCGCCTACTCGCCAAAATCAGCTCAACACATATGGCCAGGATCAGACATATACTGTACATATAATAGAGGATCCACTAATGAGTAGGTTACATTTATACTCTTCTTTCACATTAACAATGTATTTAATTTATATTATTTCTTCCTATTTCATAATACAATCAAAATAGATAAAAATCAGATATAGTGGCTATATATAATTGCTTTTTTCTTAGTCTGTGTTATAATAATAGTAATGGCCTTCTTTCCAATATTTGTGTACCAGTTATTCAACACTAACAAAAAATGATTAAAATGTTATGTAACTCCATCAGATCAGCACTTTAGAGCATAAGTGTAGTGGAAGTATTCGAAAGAGGAGGAGAAAATTATGCAATGATGATGGCCATGAACGACTCCCTGGAGAAGCCTGGCAGAAGGATCCATGCACTGTGTGCAGATGTCGGGTATGTATTAATTGCATTACCGTATGGAGCTGCTGGTAATACAATTTTAAAGTTTTTAATACAGTGTATACAACCCCTCAAGGTGGCTTTTGGTGTAGAGTGTATGCATTACTAGCATCACAGCTCCAACATGCATATATATATATATACAGTGGACCGTTAACGTATTTTTTGCACTCCATGATATTCAAAGGTCCGTACTTGACCGATTTATCCCATAAATATTGTGAGCGATTACCCTTCAGACCCCAACATGAAGGTAAAAGCACTACAGAAGTTACACTTACTATTGTCGCATTGAGGTATGTTTTCGGGGTCATGTATATTTTGACTCTGATATTAAGTTCCTGGACTATTCAAATAAATATTGCCAACCACCATTGATATTAAAAGCCTACAGCAGTGTTCAGTTCATTTCCACTAATTTTTTTTTTTTTTTATGTTTTTGGATGAAGTTTGGGAACCCTGATACTGTTTGTGCTAAGGTATTGAAGCAGTTCTTGCTCGTTTGGTTGACAGGTAGTACAATATAGCTTTGGGTGAGTGGTCAGACCTAGAGTTTGTAGATACTTCTCAGTTTCTTCCTGCAT